GAGGGAATAGGGCCCGGGCCGGGCCAGCCGGGCATCGCCTCCCCCGGGGCGTGACTCGGTAAGGCAGGGCTGCTCGGAGCGGGACGAGCTGGGGGAATCGTGCGAGCGGTGAGGTTCGCTCTGTGGCAGGGTGACCCCTGCAGTTTTCCGGAGTAAAATGCGCCAGCAGTTGCGCAAGCATCTTCTGCGCTCAAGGTCAAAATCTGTCTTTTAAAGGCCATGAAATCAGGGAGTTTTAACAAACATATAGAAATTTGTCTGGGAAACTTTATAGGGAGAGTTTGTCTTCTGGAATCCCCCAGGTCTCACAAGGGCACTGCCCTGCTCCTTTCACCGGAGGAGCACACACACCTCCTCGGGGTTGTGTTTGTCCCCTGCCAGTGTGTGGGACTGGAAGCTGCTGTGCCTGAGGGACTTTACCTCTTCTTGTTAAGGTTTTTTCCCTTCTATGAAGAAATAAAACTTTACAGTCGCTGCCTTCTTTTTTTAAAAATTTTAATCTGAGTTTATTTTTAGTAACATTAAATTCCATCATTTACAAGCTAGTAACTCCATTCAACATGTTTACAATACCAGTGGTTGGTGTGTTGCCAACTATTCAGTTTGCTTCTCATCTTTCTGTGATTTTTTTACTAATTTTCTTCTGGTAAGACTTCACGAAAATCTCAGCTGATTTCTCTCACAGTTACTTTTAAACTTCAAAACAGAACACATAATTTGATCTCTTCTTTTTTGAGGGGGAACAGTATGTTAAAAATGCATTGATTTCATTTTGTGACTAAGCTCATTTCCACTTTTGAAGTAGAGGAGCTGCCTTGGTGGGATTTTTGGGGGGGGCGTTTGGTTTGTTTTCTTTTTTCAAATGTGTGTGTCCAATTCTAAAAGGAGAAGTTTAAAATCTCAGAAATTCCTTAGATTAACAATACAACACTACCAACGCACCTAGATTAATGGAGGTCTCGGGTTAAACCCTAGCTGTGAAGCTTCAAGATGGCAGAATGCCAATATATCTTCATACTACATAATTTTAAGATGTAGTTTGAGGACTATACATCTCAAACTAAATTTGTGATCTGTCAGGATGCTACTTCTAAGCAGTTAAGCTCACTCTACAGCAGGATTTCAGCTGTTCAACTGCCAAGGTTCTTCCAAAGTCGCTGGTTTTCACTCCACCTTTCACCAAGCAAGATGCACTCATCAAGTTTCATGCTCAAAACTAGTTTTTGGTCTAGAAATATTGTCTTTTACCATGCCTTGCCATTCAAATATGTAAACATACATTTAACACAAGTTCGGAATTTAACACAATGTAAATATCAAATGAGCAAAGTAAGGATAATGAACAAACTAGAAGCACAGTGTTTTTTAGAAAGGCAGTTGGGCTGAAATATGCTCCTCTCACCAGTTCAGTACTGACAGAGCTGAAGTGAAAATAATGACCACTGGACTCAAAAGTTATGACAATTTAACCACTTGGCTGAGGCAGGGTGATGGTAGCCTATGGCTGATGTGTGATAGATAATTTTACACTAACTTTACACTCATTGTCTTTCACTAACAGCTCGGGGTCAAGGATTTGTCATAGTCAGACCTTGAGTCTCAAGGCCAATTGTGGAGAATAGATATATTTAGTGATGTTATTTATCCGGATTACCATGTATCTCTCATGTCTATGGAAGGGAGACTTCTTTGATTCAGGCAAATGTCTTCCACTTTACATAGAGCTGATACTTTATAAGTAAAACACGAGAATATTTTGAATATTTTTTAATATACAGCAGTGGTATAACAAATGGAATGTTATGCTCAGTAAAGTGTTATCTAAACATTCATAAAGCTCTCGGGTGCTTTAAGGCTACGGGCTCTAGAATGGCTGTGCATCCTGCCCATCGCATTCAACATCTGTGTCTGCGCGTGCTAGCCATTTCCCTGGCCCTTTGTCTCTCTCTCTCCTCGATGATACTGCTGCTGTGGTGAAAAATAGAGAGAAAGAACAACAGGATATTGTCCAATTCTGGTCTGCGTGCCAACAGTGACAAAATGTTGTTTTCTCCTCAGTTTGGGGATTCTTATTGGCTTTTATTAGTCCTGGGTGAGCCTGAACGCATTAAGATGTTTTTCAAATTCTCCCAGTTAGTGTGGAAACCTTGAGTCTGGGGGGTGGGAAGGTGGTGTCCCATGCCCCAGCACAGACATTCCTGCCCTGGAGGATGATACTGTGACTCATGCAGAGGAAAAGAAGAGTTCTGTTGTAAAACACAACAGGAAGACATCCAGCGCTGCTGTGTGCCAGGAGGACACCTGCAGAGCTGCCGCAGGGGTGGAAGTGAGCCACAGGCTGTATGGATAGTGCTGAGAAAACTGCACGGCTGCATAAATCTGACGCCAAACTAGGCTGCTATTTTTGGTTTCTGTTCTGCTTTTCTGACACCTGTAGGTAAGCGTGAAGTGTACAACAGACGTCTGCAGCGCTTTCCAGAGCGAAGGAGCCGTCGCAGGGTATGGGATCACAGCGAAGCGTTCTTGTTTAGCAATCAGGATTCATTATAACCCAGGAATATGAACTGTAAACACGCCGGAGTTGCCAAGACAGGAGCTGGCTGTGGGTCAGCGCTTGAATGAGGACGTACCATCCCGCTGGGACTCCCCAGGAGCAGCAGGTAACACCCAGGTACACAAGGAGCCCCATGGAAGTAGGAGGCCAAATGCTGGGGGGGACAGTGGGAGGGAGGAGAGAAGGTGTTCAGCCGTTATTCTTGGGTGGGGATGTTTCTCTAATTCGATGCTCATCTCAGTCTGCTGTCGAATTTGGTATTAGTGTACAGTGACACACTTTGATTTTTAAGAAAATCTTAGCTTCGATACAGTCTCCTTAACATAAACTCCAAAAATTTGCAACTAATGTGAAGTGTAGGCACAAGCTTCTGCCTGTGGGCCACTGTCCCTTCTTTGCTGTAGCCAAACAAGGCATTAGTGGTGATAAAGACCGTTGTGTGAGGTGAAAAATGTTAATTGAGCCAGATAACCAGTTGTATTAAAACCACCAGGATAAAATGGAATAATATGTGAGACATTCTGCAGTAATGTAGCCTATAGGCCACCTAAAGCTGAGCCAAACATCACAAACACTTTGAAAGATAAATGGCAGAAATTAAAAAAATCTGTTTGAAGTGTAAGAAGTGATGGAAAATCACAAAGGTGAAGGGAATTGATGTGCTAATTACATAATTGTGGGGCTATGTAAAAAATGCCTGTGAAGGGGTTGGCTTAAGCTCTTTGGTTGTAAAGACTTCAGTGGGAGTTCAGAAAGATTGGATTGATAGAGCTGTAACTTCTGTTAAACTGTAAGCTTTTTTAAAAAAAACCAACCTTTTTATAAATTCACATGTTACAATATTGTTTTAATGATCTGGTGTATTAAAATTTATGGGAAAAAATACTCTATAGCCCTGGGTTTGATTTGAAGGAAGATTTTTTTTTTTAAAAGTCAGTAACAAATCAAAACTTGGTTTTCATGATAGCTTCAGGGCACTTAAGGTCAGTGAGTTTCCTGGTTGTGTCTCCAGTTCAGGAGTGCTATATTAATAGTTTCACATTCTGTGAAGCTCTAGGCTCTGGTGAATGGTGTCTGTTGCTGTTACACAAAGCTCTTCTTTTTCCTCTTTTAAGGGCTTTTTGGAGTTGTAGAATACTCTTTATGGTGAGCTTTTTCTATGTCTGAGAAGAGTAACTATATCAGATTTAAGAAGGAATCATTATTTTGCATCAGTTTGTGAATGTTAAACATTTAATATATTGTGCTTCCAAGCAAATTTCTTACAAAATAATAAATAGTTCATTGGCTAGCTCTGCTTACAACCAGATCACAGACTGTTAAAGAGGACCTGACTTAAATCTAGTATTGGTTTTACTGTGCTTTTGTAAATAAATGAAAACTTAGACTACTGTCTCTCTGTGAGTAAACATGCGGAGTTCTTAACCCTGATTTCAGATGTGAACATACTGATTTTAAATTGATGCTACTTTTCTGTCCAAGTATGTTTTAAGAAGTTTAAAGCCTTGTATTAGTTCGCTGTAGTGTCTATTTCTCATTAACTATCATAAGACTTTGATACATTTTAGTATAAATTTAAATAGTGATCTCTTTGCAGGTATACTCATCAGATGCTTTCTGTGATCTTTACCAGTGAATCTGCACAAGCATTTCCTTCCTAAGCTCACTTTAGGAGCTGCATATTGGTCCTCATCCTGCTTTAACTCCCAGTGAAATAATTACACTTAACAAGACCTTATTACCTGCTGAAAAAAATAAAATGACTGAATTCCTGGTTTGTTTTAATTGGTGCAATGGTGAACAGCCCCAGCCGGTAGGTAGATGCACAACTGCCATCCTTTATCAGATCTGAAATTTTGTCTTTTATGTGGAAAATGCTTTCATTGTCATGTTGTTTTGATTAGTTTGGGCTAAGTAATGCAAATGCTAAAACCAGACCTGTTAAACTGTGTTTAAATTATGTGTGTTTCGCTAGAAACTTTGGTCACATGACTGCAGTTTTCAGGCCCTGACTTTCCAACGTTAAAGTTTTTGCTAAAATGCAATTAGCAGTAATAAAAGCGACTTTGACCCTCCTTTACTGCAGTCTTGAAACTTCAGCCTGGTTGCCATGAGGTGTCATTAGGGGTCAGTACTGACTGTCTTTTTGGTTTTTTAATCTCAGCTGCTTGTTTCTGTCTGAAAGCTGCTCATGTTTTCTGACTAGAGACCTAAGATACCTTCTTTCTTGTAGAAGAGGCGTCGGAGACTGGACCGCAATATGATAGGAGAGCCCATGAACTTTGTACACACTGCGCATGTTGGGGCAAGAGAGATGAGTAGTGACTATTCATCAGTAAGTGTGCACCTCTTGGATAAGCAGAAATCTCTGCTCAGTGACCTGTAGAGCAGGTAGCTAATAAAATTCTAGATAATTGTAAAAGAGAGAGAAATTTGACACTTTTAATCAATAGAATAGCATCAGAAGAGAACTATCCTTTAGTTTGTAAACATAAGATACATTCAGCAAGAAGTGCTCATTTTCCCAGTGTCTTTACATATGATAGAAACCTTTTGGATAAGGATTCTGTGGATGCACTTGATATTAGGTCCAGGTAACACATCAGCTTGAAGTCAAAGCTGTGCCAGGGTGGGGAATGTAACAATAAGTGGATCTTGCATAGCAAGATTCATCTCATGCACTGACTTAAACCAGTCTTTAATGATCCTGGGTTCAGTTGTTATTTCCCCTTACTACTGTTGGGACCCAGCACTGTAAACATATGGCTCACCTGCCTCTTCAAATTGTTGCTTTTAGTAATTGCTCTGCCAACCGGAATTTGAGATGTGTGTTCTAATGAACTTTTTTCCTAGGCTGTATCAATCCAGGACCACATGAAGTCTAAAGGTGGCTACACAAATGGCACTTCTGCAACTGTTGAGATATAGGAAACTGAGAGGAGGCTGACATCTGCTCTGTCTCATGAGGACCCCCTGGACTGTGCTTTCATATTCTCTAAAACCTCTTTATCATGGAGTAGAGAGACTTCTTGAATTATAAATAGGTCAGTGCAAATGTTGGTGTTCTTAGCAATATAGCTTCTGAAGGAGTTACTGTAAATTATCCTTAAAATGGTCTGTCACAGCAGTATTGTAGTAACAACTGTAACTTGTCATTGTGGATGATTTCCTAGCTGTGTCCCAAAAACCTCCCAAAGTTGACTTGTAGAATGGGATTGGAAGTCAGTATGAATTGTCTGGGGTTTTAAGCTCTGTCTTTTCCTCCTCTCAAGAAATGCAGAAGTTGATTTAATTGGAAGATATCACACGTTTGCACTTCTTACATGGGCTAAACTGAACTGCTAAGTAGGATCTTGTAGCCTGTAATAAAACTTCAGACCTGTTTTTTATATGGCTTACAACCTAATGCATAACTCTACTAAGCTGTACTTCGGGTTTTTTTAATGTCTTTTGATGACTGAACTCTAACATGATATAGTTAGCTGAGTCTGCAAAACCCTGTGAAACTTCTGCATTGCTGCGATAATCCTTTCATAGATAAAAATGGAGGTTTTGCAAACATACCCACTCTTGAATGAGGCTTAGAAAAACTGACATTTCTCTCAGTTACTGGGCTGCCTCCCTTCCATACCTGCGATAGTGGGACTGACAGGTATTACCACAACAGAGCTAATAATATGTACTGGTTACCGTAGCACCACTTGAAGTTATGCTCAGCACTGTGTGTTAATTTTGCATGACTGCTATTGAATTTTAAACTAGATGTATTTAAGATCACTCTATTACCTGTCTGTAGCAGTAACTACCCAGCACTTCAAGGGATATCTTGCTTGTCTTTCTGGCTTCCTAATTTTTAGACTTCTTTTTTTAAGATGAACTGTTATTTTTCTTGCATATGGCTTAAATAAAAGTATGGTTTCAGTGATACAGCCATGTGAAGGACAGAAACTTAAAGAATATAGTGAAAACTTGCAAGAGAATATTAAATGGAAACAGTGTCTTGCAGAGTTCCAGCACTTCATTAATATTTAAAGAAATAGCCATAAATATTTAGCCATACCCAAACTATATTTTATTACTTAGTTCTTATTCATCTTTCTATTAAGTGATATGACAAAACTGCTGAGGTAGAGCTAGGTTTTCCTTTTACCCAATCCCTGATGACTGTTCCCCAGCTCAAAATTCTGAACGACTACCAGTGCAGAAATTTAGGAAATCTACTTGCTGTCATGGGATTAACTAAATACAAGCGCTGAAATTGCTGCTGTATCAGCACTGGTTATGCTGAAACTCTCTCCTTGCTCTAGGCATAAGATCAGTTATGAACTTTTTTCCACTAAAACATCTAGCTGGCAAATCTTTTAACTTGTACGATTCTGTGGCTTGTGATACTTCTTAAATCTAGACTGCTGGCTCTGCTGAATTGTTAGGCTGTTTTTTCTGAGTATAGTAGGGAGCTTAAAACATGAAAGGTAGCTCTGTGTTTCTGTATGTGTTCAAAACACACACCCCCCCCTCCCCATTTAATCTTTAAGGGCCAAAGAAGAAGAGAGACTGCTACTTTCTGTACCAGTCAACAGCTGGTCACAGCATTCTGCAAACAAGTAGGAGAAATCTAATTTCCATGTCTTGCTAGATCCTTACTCTTGAATTAGAATTCATACCAAATTTTAATATATTTTAAAATTAGCATGAGTTAGCTATACATTTAGCTTTTTAAAGTCTTTTATATTTGTGTCTTCTAACTTCAGATTTATTCTAACAGCCTCATTAAGATACAGAGTTCAAAGAAGCTAAATACTGTTGAGTATAAAGGCCACATAAAGTGGCCAAGTTGTTTTAAAAGAATAGATTCTAATTAATCTGCTATTAAATTGAGTTCATGCATTCATGGGTCCATACCTGCCCATAAAAAATAGCGGTAGGCAGCTGTCATGAAGCAAATGGGTTGTATTTTAACACTGTAAGAAAACAAATTGAACAATTTAGTATTTCCTGAAGACCCATTCAATAGGTTTAAGATTAGTGTTGTATGCACAACTGGAAATAAAGGAATTGGTGGTTGTGTCAGTTCTTCTCTCTAAAAATAAATCAACAGAGGATTTTGTTCTTAAATCCTTATTTATAGAAAAATCCTAATTTTCATTATGTAAACCAAGTAGCACTATCTGATATAAACCCAACCTATTTTCATCAGACTAGATAGTATATATAGGACCATATTAAGGTGTCATATCATTAAAAGGAAATGTTTTGCTACTGCATTAAGGGTGCAATTACTTTTAAATTCTAAACAAACGTAAAAGCATGTCTTGGGTATTTTTTTGTTGTCTGTTTAACCACCTTATCTAGCTGTAATCTGTCATGTAACTCAGTATAAACCCATCTTGGTTATAATAAACCTGTTGAACAAGGCACGTGCACTCTTTTTATATTGTGGAAAATTTTTCTGTTTTCTCTGCACTGAAAACCTGTTGGTCAAGTGGATGGATCAGCATGGCCTGAACTTTTATTACACAAAATCGAATTTCTCCACTAGAGAGCACAATTTTACATCAAGTCTTTGCTGTCTGCTCTGTGTAAGCTACTGCATTGTGGGGTGGGTGGGTTGGTTGGTTGGTTTGATAATTTTTTTTGAGGTCGACTAGAATAAAATACAGCAAGTAAGACCAAAGGATCAAGCTTTTTAATCTGTGTTGTAGGCTGTGAAGACCTTATATCAATGCAGGGTGGCAATGAAACATTACTGTTCTGACTTGATGGCATTTTATGGTTTCTTCTTGTAGTCGGAAGTAAAATAACTTGGAAGCTGAGCAGGCTCGAGTCTTTTATACCTAGACCAGCAGAGTCATAGCACTGCATGTTTGCATCCAAAAGAAAAAAAAAAAAGGCAGGGGTGTGGAGGAGTAACTGTTATTTTAAATACTGTCTGTCCTAGCCCTTGATGTCCCTCCTAGGCTTTGCTGACTACCTCATAATGCTGCATAAACGCAGTGTGCTGTGAAACCATTGAGGTAACGTTAGGCAGTCATGGCATAAGGGGTAGAAGCTAGATCTTCCTTCCTAGAATTTGTATCTTCTCAGGAGAACAGACTCTTCAGTGGGACTGGTTAAAAAGGAGTACTTGCAGTACTCTGATATACTTGGTTATGCTTCTAGTTTATGGCTCCTAAAGGTAGACTTGCAATTCTGAAATCTGTAAGTTGGGTAAATCACACACTAAGGATTAGTGTCAAAGGTGTGGAGTCCTGAAATAAAAATTTTTCTGGTTCATTAGACTGCAGATTGGCTTTGGGGCAGAAAACAAAGACTAACCATAAATAGAGTGTTTTTCTAAAAAAAAAACCACCATAAAAACCAAACCTGCTTGGATTAAATCTTTCTTATTTATTTTTAAAAAGTGGAGACCTGCATTTTTAACTCATTGCAATTGTAGTACCACTCTTGCTAATGTACTTTTCTGTCTACAGGGGCTGGATCAACAGAGTTTAGGCCCAAAGTAGCAGTTAATGTTTGAAATTCAACATTTTAGATGCTTGCCTCTGCAGCTGAAGTCCCTGTGTGCCTAGGGAGATGCTCTAAGTGGTTGGTGCTTGGGCTTCTGGCAGACCAACTGCCCTTTCTTCATACACGGTAATTTGTCTGTCACACAAGGCCCAAGTTACTTACATGGGTAGTTTTCCCGTTGATATTCATGTGGTTACAGTGCATATGTAAAAGATTTCCTAGTCCTGTGCAGAACAGTTATCTCTAGGAAGTGGCCTGTTGGACAGTTCTTTCCTCAGCAGAGCCTTAAGCTGTGGAGTTACTTAAATTTATCAGCACATGCACCAATGAGTCAGTTTTGTACTTTGCTACGTAAAAGCAGAAAGTCTCCTTGTTAATCCTTCATACTTGTGGGAAGGTGGTCAGAGAGGCTAACGGGTCGATCGGGGGCCACAGAAAAATGAGATGTGCAAGTGAGGCAGGTTTAGAAGCCGTGGAGAGGCAATGTGGTACATGTTTACAAAGAACAAGCAGGGAGCAGAACGTGTGTGTTAATGCTTGTTATCTGCAACGCACAGGACAGCTTTGTTGATACCAGTTGGAAAATACTCATAATGAGTGCGTAATTGGTATATGGAGGCAAATGGGCACTTAAATGCATGACTAAGCTGGGACTTTGAGACCTAGATTGCCAATGTAACTTTAATGGATGGTAGCATACTCTTCCTGCACTGGCTTACAAAGCTGGTTTTGGAAAGTATGGAGCCACCCAGACAGCTAACTTTGGTTTCAGCAGTTGCAGACCGATGGCACATATATGTTAGGAAGATGAGACAGTGTTGTTTGGTTTTGTTTGTTTTTTTTTTTCTGATGAATGCAAGGTTGCAGATGTTCTAAATGTTGAAGCCTACTGCACTCAATGCTACCTCTGTGAAACACAAAACTAATAAAACTTAAGAGTTAATACAAAATAGCAGTAGTAAAAAGGTATTTGCCTTCAGTCTGCCATGCTGCCAAATCTTCAGGGGAATGACCTACATCTGATACTCAACTTGCAGGTGTTGGGAGAGTATGGACAGGTTGGAGCTGAAAGGCCATGAAGAATTTCTTGTGCCTGAGGAGGTTTGAGTAATGTTCTCCTGGACTCTCTGCAGGCTGACATGTGAGAAGGTTGCCATGGCTACACCAGATTTCCATTACCCTTTCTCTCCATGGTATGTAGACAAAGGAAACATGACAGAAAATAGGAGTAGACAGGGATGCTACTAGTATGTGTTCTTGTGTGAAAAAAGCTCCCAGCTTGAGGTGCTTGATACTGAGCTAGGACTGCTGTCTTCACCTGGGAACTTATAAATGAACAAACTCACATTATAATAAAAAGCTGTGTCCTTTCAGGGAGAGCAGAGTGTACAAGGGCATCCAAGGCATGGTATACTTTGGCCTCTGCATCACATAAACCCAGCCCCAACTGGCTTATCAAGCCTTGCAGTGTGACTACTGAACACCTTGTGGTTGTCACATGTTCCATACATCTTGTTCCTGTGCATCCCGTTAGGATGACCAAAACCCTAAAATGTTACCCATAAAACATAGTTCAGATGGGATGGACTTCTCTTAGTTATAATCCTGTTTAGAAGAGAGTAGTAACAGATGGACAAGAACAACAACTCTGAGGTGTCGAGACCTCTACAGTAAGTTAGTCATGAAGGTCACAAAGCTGTATTGAAACTACTTTACTTTTAATTTTGTTGTTGTTGTTATTGAAGCAGTGTGAATGGGAAGAATATGCTAAGAAATTTTAAATTGCCTCTGATACTTGAATATAAATCCAACCTGAATGAAATCAAAGTTATTATTACTAAGGGCCCACCCTAATTAAGGGGAAAAAAAAAAAGTTGAATGATGTCTTTTACTGTTTTAATATATATGTATATATTTAGACCTTCATCTTAAGCAATGTGGAAGGAAATAATCCATTCTTTTAAACTGAAATTAGTATGATTGCTCTGGCTTATTGGAAGTTTAAAAAATGGACTTAAAATCTACATTTAAACTACTGAGAGAGAATTTGGTGTGCTTTTAAAGCTGTCATTGTCCTACACAAGTGAATGACTAACTAATTTCAGATTCTTCATCAAAGAGCTAGAAAAAATATTTGGTTACAGCATTTCTTTTTTTTATATATATATATACACACACACATAAAATAGTGTATTTACATGCATCTGATCTTGCTGGTGCTTAAGAAAAACATGTACATTTTACATAACTTACCTGAGCTGAGTCTAAAGGTGAATGAAGACTATACTGATAACTAATAATTAATCTCTTTACAGTGAGCTGTCTGAAATTAAGGATCTGTAGATGAGGCAAGCCAGCAGCACTTATTCTAGACAGAAATCAATGTTTAAAAATTGATCTAATATATGTAAGTTTGAAAGTCCAGTCTCAACATGAGCTGAAGCTGCATATTAATGGTGAAAGTAATATGCTTCTAAATGCTGTTACCCACATTTACCTTTGCTGTCTCTACCACCAGGAAATATTAAAACCTGACTCGATACCTTTAAGGGTGTGATACAAGCTTGAAAATATAATTCAAAAGTAAGGTTTACAGTCCTTCATTAATGCATGCTAATGTGACCTTGCTGTATAATGAGGAAGGCTTTCGCTAGTTTCTTTCAACTACTTTAAACATCACCTTTGAAAATGCATTTGAATTGTTTTTCCTCTCCACTGCATAATATGCAGTGAATTAGGGTATCTCCAGCTTGCATAGATTGATATTTACTGGTGTTCAGGTAAGACTGTTAGTACATGGGGGAAAAGCTGCTAGACGTGTGTCAATACTAATAAATAATTCTTAAATACCGTCCTTTCTATGTTTTGGATCGTTTCCTTGCCAGGAGATAAGAGGTCCCATGAGGCTGTTGCACATGTCCTCATCTTTGCCATGTGTGTATGTCTCACAGAGAGGGCAGGTTTCAGTAACAGTGTTCCCTGTTCTGAATCAAGAGGTTTCACAGCATTATCTTGCTGTCTTGTTTCAAGCTCCAGCCAAAAAGCTGTGAAAATATGAAGCACTTAAAAGAGTTTGTAGGACAGGGTAAAATTTTCTTTGTTAAACCACTTCCTTTTCCTTATCACCTGCTTTATTCTGCCCTATTACTCTACTGCCCGCTAAATTTCTTAAAAATATCTTTACATTCAGTATTTGGGTCGGTGTTCTCAGTTCTTAGAAATTTAATACAACATATTAAAAATTCTTTCATGCCTTTGAAGCTTGTGTATTGATTAATTAACCCAAAATCCCCTCTTTACTGATTTTTGCATGACATAGCTGGTTAGTGAGCAGTCTTTTTTACCCTTTTACCATCTTAGTAATTTAAAAATTATGCAATGTTTTCTCTTAAATACCTAATGCTGATAGCCACCCTTCCAAACCTGCCTACCTAACAAGGCGACTGTTTTCTGTTTATGCTATTTTATGCAAAATTAACAGAATGAGACAGTAATTCAAACTTAAGCTAATGGAAGAACAAACTTAATTGCATGAGGAGATATAGGGAAAGGAACAGAAAAATGCAGATTGGGATAAGTTTACTCAAAAGCTGAGAGGCTGGTTGTCACATCCTTCTCAGGTGAGGGAGGCCAGTGACTTAAATTCCCAACGGAGTGGACAACAGTGAGACAAGTCTCAAAGTACAGACACTTTTTAACTTCCCACAGCATACTAACTGGATATGTGATAATTGGCTAAGGATAGAATGAGTTATGGCAAGCAATACAGTATGCCTTAATGGTAATGAGAGAAAAGGGGAAAAAGAAAAGGAGGGAGATAGAATAGAGAAATAGAGATCACCAGCCTGGGTTTGTCAGGGATGCATCTGTCTTTTTCACTTAATGTCTGCTTTTTTTCTGTCC